CTTCTTATACAATAAAAGGTTTTCTTGCTAGAAAGAGGTTATAGGAAGAAATTGTTGTCTGGATCCTCGGGGTGTCATGGAGGCAGTTCATCTTGTTCTACAATGGAGGCATTTGGGGGGCAGCAATTGTTTATAATTATTTTCACCTTTTAATCACCTTTTTATTTTTTTTCATTTAGTTATTTCTTATTTTTTAATTTATAGCAATTTTTTTTTTCCACCTAACTTTATTGCTATCACACAGAAGCTAACAAGCCCGTGTGTGATAGCCTTTGGAGGGGACAGGTTCTCTTTATTGACCCGTCACCGGAACTCCTGTGACAGCTGAGAGGGGAAGAGGACGGCACAGCTCTCCCCTCTCACTGTGTACACGGAGTGGCAGGGTTACTTTTAACCCGGCCGCTCTGCTCCCCGCATCGGCGGCCAGCGAGGAGAGAGACTCGGCGGCCGGGGGGAAGAACGGAGCCAGCATGGAGTGAGGTAGGTGGGGGGGGGTTAGACAGGCTGCAGACATATTACACGTGATCGCGGCAACATGTAAACAAGCGGCTTCCCCCGCACTACATTTAGTCCGGCCTTCCCAAAGCAGGACTAAATGTAGAAGGCCACTTACCGCCCGGAACATGCAGTGTTCGGGGGGACTGCACGCGGCTGCCGCAGCTCTGCTCCCTGCCGCCCCCGGGGCCTCGGTGGCCTTGCGGGGAATCCGGTTGCTGCACGGCAACTATCCAGAACGGGAGCTAAAATTCCTCCTGTGTGATCAACAGGTCAGAGCCTTGCCAAACCCCCCCCAACGCCACGTCTCAGGACCTACATACAGGTTATTCTCTCTACTTTCCGATATTTACTTTGTAACCCTTTATTAAATAAACCTTCAAAAGCCATCCGAGGTTTTTGGTTTTCTTATATTAAGCTAAAAACAAAAAACAACCGGCACGATCCTCTAACGCTGGAGGGGACAAGGACTGGACAATTCTATAATGGGCCCCGAAGCAGACGAGTGAAATCTACGGCTACGGCGCAGACGCCATTAATGAACATTGACATGACGGGCCTTTCGGTAAGAATTGTATCACACGTGACTGCTCATAACCCGGCTCCACAATTAGATGCGTTATCTGCACTGCAGGCAAGGTCATCCTGCAACTAGTCATCTAAAACAGATCTCCGGGGCGGCGGGTAGAAAAGAACGGCTGGGCACCGCCACTGCAGTTTGTCAGAAGCAATCAGACTGACGTGAGAAAGACGGGCGAGGGCTCTGACAGCCAATATACCCCGGACTGGAATAAATATAGGATTATGAGGGGTGAAGAGACAGGCAAGAGGCATGTGGAGTGCAGAATCTGTGCTTTGGCTGTAGACAGGTCCTCATACACAAGAGGCATGTGGAGTGCAGAGTCTGCTTTAGATGTAGACAGGTCCTCATACACAAGAGGCATGTGGAGTGCAGAGTCTGTGCTTTGGCTGTAGACAGGTCCTCATATACAAGGGGCATGTAAAGTGCAGCTAATCTGCATATTAGTTGCCCCTCCCAGCTTTGAAAACATATTGGGTGAAATGATCGATAGGTAGGGAATCTGATATGTGAATTTCTGTGATGCGGCTTCATATACAGTGTAGGGTAAGAATGCTGCAGCGGGTTCCCTTAAGGATTACTCCTCAGCCTGGGTTCCATTCAATTGGATGTTCGCCAAAGACAGCCAGAAATCTGGGTCTGGACGACGTCCAAGCCAACCGAAACCATCATCATTGGCTAGAGCAGAGTGTCGGGCAGGCGGGTACAAAGGACGAATAGTTCACCCGTTTGGCAAACTGAACTAGGGTCTTCCCCACCCCCGAAGCTCATCCCTACGTCTAAAATTAAATAGACG